TGCAGAGGAGGAGTGCAAAAGTGCCCAATGTTCTGCGGAATTGGTCAGGCCTGCTGCCAACGAGTCGTCTCCGCCGTCCACGCGAGTCAGCGGTACGGACAAGTCCGAGACCAGCAGAGTGGCCCACTGGCTGGCCGTTCACGTGGTGACAGCAGGTCGTCAGGCCAACAGTCTTGGCCTCGACCAGAAGCCCATTGTGCAGATCTCCAGCGTGCTTGGCTGCTCCAGGACAGGTCAGGTGAGACCAAATTATTTGGTCCTTCTCGGCCACGGCATAGGCTGGACGGCCGAGATCAAAACGCGCCAGGACGAGTTGCATTGGACTCTGTTGAAATAGCATTCCACAGACCCTTTTCCGGATGGTTGAATGGCCTCTCGACTTGACGGGCACGAATAGACGAGCTGTTGCTTCGTCGTTTTTACCCAACTCGTCCTTTTTTAACGATCCTGCGTCCGGAAGACCTACAGCGCTTCTCCCGTGTCCTTCGGGATTTCGGCCCTCAGTGCCAGTCCCGTTGAAAGCGGGCATATCTTTCATTTGTTCCGAAGAGGCGGCTGAAAGGGACTCGTAAATTGGCCGCACCGGATACCAAAGAAGGATCACCTTGGACTACTTGATTGTGCGAAGAAGTTGAATGAGAATGAGAAGAATATTAATGAGAAGAAGAAGAAGAAAAGGAAGAAGAACAAGTAGAGGAAGGAGGCGAATAATAATAATAAGAATAAGAATACGAATAATAATAGGAAGAGGAGTCATAATAATAATAAGAAGAAGAAGAATAATACGAATAATAATAGGAAGAAGTCATAATAATAATACTAATAATAATAATAATATTAGGAATATTAATAGGAAGAAGAGTCATAATAATAATAAGAAGAGAAGACGAATACGAATAATAATAGGACAAGAGTCATAATAATAATAATAAGAAGAAGAAGAATACTAATAATAATAGGAAGAAGAGTCATAGTAATAACAATAATTATTATTATAAGGAGAAAACGAAGATGTAGAAGAAGGCGAATAATAATAAGAAGAAGAAGAATTGGAAGAAGAATAAGAAGGAAAAAAAATTATAAGATGAACAAGGCGAATAATAATAACAAGAAGAAGAAGAAAAATAAGAAGAAGGAGAAGAATTCGGCTCACCATTCGTGCTCGGCTTTCGTCCTTTATGTGACGGACCATCAGCTGCAAACAATCACTTCCAGCCTCGGACTGAGGTTCTTGGTTTATTGTTTTTTTGGTGACTGTTTGCAAATGATGCTTTATAGCTCGAACGGAGCCCGTTGCATGACGGACGAAAGCTGAGCACGAACGGCGAGTTGAGGTCTTCTTCTTCTATGCACAATCCAGCAGCCTCAAGTCCGAGGCGATCCTTATTTGCTATCCGAAACGGCCAAATTATGAGTCTCTTTCACATTCCTTTTCAGACAAAATTAAGAGTTTGTTGGGACTTTCATTTCGTATGAAAGTGTATAAAGAAGAGATTCGTAAGTCGCAATCGTTTGGCTTTTAAACGATGTTGAGATTGATGCAGTCCACGAGACTGTATGGTGTTAACTTGAGAAACTTACAAGAATGCGTCCCAGATCTGATGATGTCCATCGAATGATGAACGAAAGCTCAGTCCGTTTTCGCCCAAAACGAAGGAGGAGATCTCGTGGACTGCATCAAACTCAACGTCGTTTAAAAGCCAAACGACGGCAGTACAACGCGATTCATCCGTCCTCTTCTGGTGGGATCGGTCGACGAATTTCTTCTTCATGCCGTTTTATATGAAATTAAAGTCCCCTCAACAATTTTTTTTCATCGAAACCCAGTTACTTTTCATATCTTAAATTAAAGATATGCATGCCAGTATCAGCCTAAAAAGAGGTTCTTCGAAAGGCCCCTTCTCCTCACAAAAGGGTGTTCTCTTTCGACCTCGCGCCTCAATCTCCCTCTACGGCAGCCACAACGGGACTCGAAGCCAGGCGAACTTCTATAACATCTTGTCGCCTATCCGCAGGATTGTGAAAAAAATATTCATCATCAGTTCCTAAATAATCATAAACGGGCTAAAGCGACTAGATCCATAGTCAAACTTTGCTGATGGTCCCGAACCATACTCTTGAAGATCATATCTTCATCAGGAAAAATATCGAGCAACCTTACATTTCGGGGCCAACTGAAGAAGATAAACAGGCGAGAAAAAGTGGTCTATTTTGTCCACCCTCGCCGGCCTCTGCTCTACTA